GGAGGGCACATACTGCATGGAGCACTGGGTGTTATACGAAAACAATGAATCATGGATCACCACATCAAAAACTAATGATGTACTGTATGGTGATTAACATAACATAATAAAATAAAATTAAAAAAAAAAAATAGATCAAATGAGAAAGTTACTACAGAACCTGGAATCTATAAGAAATCAATCAAATGGAAGTTATATCACTTGAAAATAGTAAACACAGTATAAGTGGGTCAGACACACTCTAAGCAGAACAGAATATTAGGGAATTGTAAGGCAGGTCACCAAAATATCCAGAATAAAGCAGAGAGATAAAAATAATTAAGAGGAAAAGAGAAAGATGCATAGGAGACATGTGGGGAAACACAAAAAGGTTGAATAAAATGTAACAAGAGTTCAGACAGAGGAGAAGAGATGGGACAGAACAGAGAAAGGCCAAGGATAGCCTATAGTTGAGGAGGACATAAACCCACACACTCAAGATGATCTGCAGCCCCAACCAGTATGAACACAAAGGAAACCACACCTGGGTTCAACAAAGTAAAACTGCTGAAAAACCAAAACCAAAAACAGTATCTTAAAAGCAACAGGACCAAAAAAAAAAAAAGAAAGAAAGAAAGAAAAGAAAAAAGATCCTTGAAGGAACATAACGAACTGACAGTTGTTTTAAGAGAAAATATGGAACCCAGAAGACAATGGAATGATATCTTTAAAATGTTAAAAAATACATGCAGTTGACTCTTTACAACACAGGGGTTAGGGGTGCTGACGCCCCATGCAGTCAAAACTCTGTGTATAACTTTTACTCCCCCAAAATGTAACTACTAATAGCCTACTGTTGGCTAGGAGCCTCACTGATATAAACTGTTGATTAATGCACACTTTGCTATATGATTATGTATTATACTGTATGTATTATAGACTGAACTCTTTTTTACAATTTTTTTATTGTTATGTTAATCCCCATACATGACATCATTAGTTTTAGATGTAGTGTTCCATGATTCATTGTTTGTGCATAACACCCAGTGCTCCATGCAGAATGTGCCCTCCTCAATACCCACCACCA